AAAAATAAAAAATAAAAAAAGGCCAATGCTAAACAAAAAGTCAGTAGTCGTAGAATTAACAGTGGAGCATACTGTTTTCTGTAAACCTTAAAACATTCATACATATGAGTCATTGAGTAATCTGAAAAAAATCTAAATAAATGGCAAAATGTCTGTTCAGTCCAAATTAATTACAAACAATGGTCATATGAATGAACATTATTAGTACACTTAAGAACTGTCTTCTCTACAACTGAATATAGTCACATATCTGCAGTGATAAACGCTGCTCTGGAGATAGTTGTGGCTTTGGTAGGTCTTAATGTGCAGTAAGATGGTATTTAAAATAACTTGCACCTGAATGTGTTAACCAGTAACAGACTCACATGGGTGAAACGGTCATAAATGAATGAAGCAGCTGTTTCCAGAGACACAAAGTCAACATTGTGACTTGTGTTGTTTCCAACTGAGCCGTCACTACTTGACCTTAGCACCCTGTGTTAAAGTTTTTTTGGGAAAACCACAATGCTTCCAAAAAGTTGTGTTTATTTCTCTGATGATGATACTGTACCTGCAGTATATGAGCTGGGCTGCTGTGGTTCAGCCAAAGCCTTCTGGGTGGAACATGCACTTTTATTTTCATCGTACGCCACAATGTTTCGTATTGAGACAGTATTAGACTAATAAATAGGAATGTAAAGATATATCCCGAGACAGTTAAATCACGATCCCATTATGTGAAGATTGAAATCGGTGAGATAAAAAATAACCTTGATACTATTTTTAAACAGCAGAGGGTGCTTTCTGCTTTTGACTTGTTTGACGTCCTCTGTCACTCATGTCAGCAACTGTATCAAGCACAAAGACATCAGTTTCACCTTCACAAAGAGAAAGGGAAATATGTTCTGCACAGTTTATACCCTAACTAGAAATTAAAAAAAGATTATTTTATTTGAAATGTATTTGAAGTAAAATGTAAGAGAAAATATATCCACAATATATATTCTCATAATTTGTCTTCAGTCTCATTTTGTTAAAAGAAAATCATGACAAATTCTTATAGTGAATCAAATTGTGTATTGTGACATCCCTACTAATACAGCTCCAATTATTTGGTTTATAGGGTGTACAGAACTGAAACAAGTTGCGTACTCAAACCTTAAAATGTCAAATGAATTTGTCATCTCATCTCTTGCAGTTACGAGTTCATGAGGAAGAACCTGATATTCTATCGCACTGAAATCCACAGACTCACCGGCAAGGTGAGACCTTTCACAGCAACATGTTTAAACAAGTCACACAAACGGTGCTTCTATCCAGCATACTGGGACGAATTCAAGTGTGAAGTGGATACGAGTCATGCTTGACCCACTGAAATGCCCAGTATCATTAATATCAGCAGGAGACAGATGGGTAGATCAATAGAAGAAGATTTGGTTGTAGGATGATCCACAGACCCCAAAATACCTCTCAATGAAAGTCTGTAAAGAAATGTGATTTTTGAGGTAATCAAATGGGTTTTTGTGTTTGTTTGTGTGATTTGTTGAACTAATCATTTAATACAAAGTGTGATTCTGCTTCAGTAACGGTGAAATTCCTCTTCACTCTGAGCTTTTGGTTACTCATCATCTGCTTTCTCCACAGGACCCATTGGAGCAGTATGGTATATCAGATGAAACCCGCTTCCAGGTCAGCAACGGCCTGCAACTTATGCCCAGAGATACCTCCTCCCTGTAGACCCAGCGTCCTGTCTCCAGATCTACTTTATTTTCATTTTAGTTCAACCTGCCATTCCAACATTCACTCCTCACTGGTTTGAAAACTATTGCATTAGCATAAGCGCACACGCTTTTTAGATCTGCTATGCTCTGAATGTATTTAGTGTAGCTCCAGACTTAGAGAGAGGTTCTTATGCAGATGTTATAGCGAGTATCTGAGGCCATGCAAAGTGATTATTTCTTTTATGTCATTGTCAATCATTACAGGTAACATGGGGATGTGGAAAACTCAACACTGTTTTAATTACATGCCATTTTCTGTATCATTTTCAAACTTTGCCTTGGTTAATTGGTTGTCAGTATAAAACATGTTTTCTACTAGACATAATATAGACAATGTGATTGTTAGAGCCGCTAATAGTACTTTTGCTGTAGAGCTGTGGCTGTGACTTCCTTTCAGGACTATTAGTAATATGAGCATGACTGTGTTTAACTAGAATCAATCCAGGACAGCTGAACATTTGGTGTAAACCAATGTTAATCAATTACATACAGTCTGAAGAAGCTTACAACCTTTGGAAGTATTTTCTGTCCTGATTTGAACTGCATGGGCCCTTTGATCTGCTGAGTTGAGCCACTCATTTTAACTCCATTTTATTTTCTGTGAAAAAAATGTTTAGCTATCTTAATATATATTCATCATCTATCCCATTTAGACTATTTAGTTTTAAAAACTATACTTTTGCACATTTATTACTGGTTGTTGAGGGTGTTTTTATCAGAATTTCAAGAATCTACTTGAATCTACTGTACCTTTTCTTTAAATTTTTTTTTTTGCACTTTGAATCAGATTCCTTTGGGTAAGCCGTTGGACCATGTTAGGATACCAGGCTCTTGACATGATTATTTTAAATGTCACACAAACGTCTTTGTGAGTGTAACTACAACAGAGTTGGAGACAATGGTTGCTCTCAACCTCAGTTTACTATGTGGCATTGTTGTATCCTTGGTAAACTGTTTATTTCAGTCAGGAGTCTACAGCTTATATATATTGTCAATAGTCTACCCCCACAAACACAATGTCACTGAATGTGTCTTTATTTCAGACTTTTGCACACGGAACATGTTTAGTCTGTTTTTACTTCTTGTTCGATTATATTTCACTGGCATCTGTTTGGGTTTTTTTTACTAATAAAGCCATTTGAAAGATACTGTAAAGTGTGTCGTTTGTTAACCAGAATGAAATTTGTCTACAACAAAATGTTATTTTTAATTTAATAAGACTGTTTAAAGACAGAAAGGTAATGAAAGTGCAACAGCCCATCGCATTGTTTGTATAATACAACCACTTTCAACGATATGAAGCCACATGCTGCCCTCCCGTTGTGTCTTTATTATAAATTATCTTTATTATAAGAACTAAAGGCTTTATCGCAGGACTCAAACTGCACCTAGGTGGGATTTTATTCCTGTGTACTTCATAATTTGTCCTCACTGAACTCAGTCCACAGAAGATGTGGGAGGATATTGCGACTGGGACACGTTTCCTTAGCAACGCAAAATGTGTGATTCAAAAACAGCGACGTCACGTTTTACCCGTGATGCTTTGCGAGCCCAAATTGAACGCTCGGCAAAAGAAAACATTTTTTATTTTACATGCTCTGTTTTTAAGAGTAAAACGCATAAAATAAGGCTTTTCAACTGGAATTGACACTGCCAAGAAGAAGAATTCAACTGTGCGCAACGGGAAGAGTTTATCGGGGCACGGTAGGTGTTAATACAAGTGTAGATTGTGAACAAACAATGTTGCTAATGCATTAGCCGGGCAGCTGAGCTAGCGTTAGCACTAGCATAGCTCTGTATGTTGATTGAATTATTTGTTGTTTTTTTAGGATTGGTTTTAGTGTTAGGGTTACAGCTCAGCGATAACTACGACAAATGATTTATTTTCTGTTTCCTGGAACCAGCACACACACACACACACAGTTAGACGGGTTTTACAGTTACAATTATTTGTCTTCACAAAGGTAATGTAACGGTGTCGTTAAGTGCTGTAAGCCGCAGCCCACCCGCAGCTCATCGTGACCACTGTAACTAATGTCATTGTCATTTACCAACAGATTTCCCCCAAGTTAGCCAGTTTAAGTGGGATTTATTCTGAGGCTCTAAACAAAGCATTGTTTGGATTCTCTGTGTGGTCAGAGCGATGCATTTTCTTTAACAGACAGTTGTGTTGCTGAATTATCCCCACAGAACAACTACAGGGTCGCATTTCTGCTAAGATTGTCTCTAGAAATGCTTCCTGGAGGTGACTGTAAAGGTGATCTTTTCACAACCATTTACCTCATAACAAATGTGATGCGTAGACATCGATGAAACTCTGCTGAATAATGTGATACAAAGAGTTTCACATGTGTAATTACAGGGCTGGTCCGGTAGCTTTCAGTAGTGACTGAATAGGGACGTGTTGCTGAAACAAGTAATCCATTACTCAGTTAGTTGATTTACAGAAAATCAGTAATGCTTTGATAATCATTTAAGTAACTGCCAAACATTTGCAGCTTCCAGCCTTTTAAATGTGAACAGCTGCTGCTTTTCTCAGTCTTACATTGTTAAAGGTTGACTGTAGCTTAGACAAAACAAGCAGTTTGAAGACATCATGTGATTGGTGTCTATTCACAGTTGTGTTACACTTTATAGACTGAACATGTACCGGATAATTTGAAAAAAACTAGATGAATTTATTGATTCAAAATAAGAAGTATTTGCAGTGCTACTCAGCAGCCTTAAATCTTAGCTTGTAAGTAATTTATGATATTAAGATCAATCAGAATCTGGTTTTGGTATTGCCAAGTAAGTTTACACATACGAGGAATTTGCATTGGTGCGTAGGAATCACAATCAAGGAGGAAAAATATAAATAAAGATAGATCTATCAATAGAGTAGAGTTGTTGTTTTGCTGCTTTACTGGTAGACTGGTATCGGCCTTCTTTTTAGAGACATTAGTGGTAAGTCAGGAAGAATTACCAGAAGTAACACAAGTCATACCTTATGAGAGTACCAGTGTCTGTTACTAACGTATTATCTTCCACGTGTATTCAGGAAACTGGTGTGATTTTATGATTGTGTTGATCGGTCTTATCCTGTTTTCAGGCATCATGGATCAGGACTATGAGTGCAGGCTGCTCAGGCAGATAAACATCCAAAATGAGAACGCAAGCCCCATAGTAAGTATTACACACACCAGTAGTTTTTGTCTGTTATTTCTTGTTGAGCCACCTAACCTAAAACCTAAAAAAAGAACACAAATTGCCTTATCTAGCCGAGGTTTACAGTGTTGACCGGTAGAACAATTCTGACCATAGCCGGGTGATCTTTGAGCCCCTCCCAAAGAGGATTGTTAATTGTTGACTAGCTAAGAGGGGTGTTACTCTCAATGTGTTGGAAGAATTAACGGTTTAACAGACCAGTCTCTTTCATTTGACGATGTCAATAGTGTTGAGTGATAACAAGACCTTACCGTCCAAATGACTGGGTTTTGTGAATGTAGCCTTCTGTTGTTAACACCTCGAACAAATGCACCATCTGCCTCCTAAATTATTGTCCTGTTTTGTTATCAAGTTTTCAAACACCGTCCAAGGCCTGTTTGTGTTTGGCCTCCGGTCAAAAATGCTCTCTCCTCTCCTCTCTCGTGTAGAAAGCTGTAGGAGCAGTGAGAGCTCTGACACCCACCAGCTCCCCCCTATCCTCCCCTAGTAAGCACGGTGATCGCTTTATTCCCTCCCGGGCAGGAGCCAACTGGAGTGTCAATTTCCACCGCATCAATGTGAGTCTGCTGTTATACACCCAAGGACTTCACTGTCTTTGCTTTCAAAAGAACAGTGTTCTCAAGATTGAAGTGTTGATAATGGGATACATAGTATCTAGTAGCACTTTTCTTTCATTTATTCTATATATTTATTAACGAGTTTAAAGATTTGGTTGAGAATGATCATTTATTTATTGCATTTTCTGGCACAGGAAATTGAAAAGTCGCACAATCAAAACAGGAAAACCAAAGATGGCACAACAGACAGCAACAAAGGTAATTGATCGTTTTTTTTTGTATCAAGAGACTGAAAGTGGGACAAATAATATATTGTGATACAGTGTGTTATACTTTGTACATTTACATTTAGCAACATACAGTACAAATGGGGTAGTTAGTTTAAGGTTGCAGCTAACAGTTATTTTAATTATTGATTCATCTGTAAATTATTTTTTGATTAAACGATTAATTGTTTTGATGATAGAATGTCAGAAAATGTATTTCAATTTAAAAAAACAAAACAAAACCCAAAGATATTCAGTTCACTTTACTTTTCTTTGTGGCAGTTGTCCAATATTATATACTAATATTGATATTTGAGTGTTAAGGAAATATAATAGTGATATACATCGGCCAATGTTTTACTTTTTTATATAAACCAACATTTATGAGATAGGATCTGTTAAATTTATAATAAAATTGTGACCAAAAAAAATGTCAGTGCTCTCTGATGGACAAACTGTTAAATAGAGACATTGTTTCTAAAGTACTTGAAACATATCAATTTGTTGTTACTTATCTGCCGACCACAGTATCGATACATCTGTGATGATTGGTTGGACTCTAGTTAAGAAAGCTCAGACTCAGACCTAAAGCTCCTAATGCAGTGATTCAGTACAGTACATGGTTGATTCCTGTTTTAGAAAATACATTTCACCATTGCAGGTGTGCATTTTCCACTTCAGTTTCATAGATAAGAGGATCTATAATTGCCATGCCATTATATTGTATATAGCAGAATCACCTGTATAATGACACCTTCGTTATCATAAGGAAATGATCATGATAGTGATGTATCATGAGTTATCCTGTGATTGTCAGCCCAAAAGTCAGATGTTCTTCTTCTCTTTTGTGGCTAAACATTTACTGTGAGTTTTATCCCCTTTTCAGCTCGTTTCCACAGTTATCTGTCTGCTCCGGTCAAACTGGATAATTTGACCTTCTCTTGTTTACTAAGCCAGGGCAGGCTCATGGAAACTGGAGATAAGGACTAAACAAAGCTTAGTGAAAAATTCACCCTGATCTTTAGAGATGTGAGAGAGAGCTGAGCAATTGCAAAGGGGCCACAGTGTTTGAACTTAATCATTTCGACAGCCTGATGTGATTTCCCCTCTGTCTCTTCCCCTGCCTTTAGCGGATGGCCTGGCTTACTCTGCTCTGCTCAAGAACGAGCTGCTAGGAGCAGGCATCGAGAAAGTCCAGGACCCCCAGTCAGAAGACCGCCGTCTGCAGCCGTCCACTCCTGCCAAGAGGAGCCTTTTTAGTGTAAGACCAGTTCACCAGGCCGTAACTTCTAACAAGAGTTTCATGGGGAGTTTTTCCTGCATACCACTAATCATCTGTTTGTGTTTTGTAGTATTCTGTTAGCACTAAGAGGGCTTTGCCTGAAGAGGATGGAAACACAGTCTCTCCGTATTCTCTATCACCTGTCAGTAGCAACAGGTAATATGTTCTCCTTGTCATTCCTCAGATGTTATCTCCTCCATGTGGGCGAAGTAGCACTGTATTCCTACCCAAATTATTATTTTTTGCATTGCAGCCAGAAACTGCTGCGGTCGCCCAGGAAACCTACACGCAAAATATCCAAGATTCCTTTCAAAGTTCTGGATGCTCCGGAGCTTCAGGATGACTTCTACCTCAACCTAGTGGACTGGTCCTCTCTGAATGTGCTCAGTGTTGGACTGGGTACCTGTGTCTACCTGTGGAGTGCCTGCACCAGCCAGGTGTGTGTGTGTGAGTGGGAGAGATCTGTTAATTGAGTGCACTGAGACAAACAAGCATCCAGCAGAGGTCTTCACTGTAGTTAAAAATAATCAAGTATAAAATATACATATACGTGTAACTGCCTCTTGGATGTCCATGTTAATCTGTATTATTTTTCCTCCCCACCTTTTTAGGTGACACGTCTATGTGACCTTTCTGTAGAAGGAGATTCTGTAACATCAGTTGGCTGGTCGGAGAGGGTTGGTTTCTTTGTCATCTACTATCTTTTCATATTGTTGTCATGTTACATTAAAAAAAAAAACACCCAGCTCTAATAAGGTTGTGGTAGAGCCCACTTACCAAACTTTATTTACATTTATACTAAACAGGCACAGAGTAATTGACAGTTCTTCAGTTTGACCTAAAAAAGATCCACTACGGAAAAGGGCAGTTGCTTAATATTAGTGAAGATGCAAATGAAGTTTAGTGTGTAGGCTCAGTTTCAGCTTTTAAAAAGTTCCTGTTCTATGTGGTTTTTGTAAGTGTGATATTAAAAGTGCGCTGCCTATTTTCAGGGTAACCTGGTGGCAGTGGGGACTCATAAAGGCTATGTACAGATCTGGGATGCAGCAGCAGGGAAGAAGCTCTCTGTACTAGAAGGACACACAGCCAGAGTGGGTGAGTTGAGAGGCTAGATGGAGGTGGAGACGGTTCCATGAGTAAAATATTACAGCCGTTGTTCATTTTCACACAGTCGTGTCGTTTAGCAACATCTCATTCATGTTCAGTGAATCACCTTCACTTCAATCTGCCTTTCATTCTGTGCTACCAGGTGCGTTGGCATGGAATGCGGACCAGCTGTCGTCTGGGAGCCGCGATCGGGTGATCCTGCAACGCGACATCAGAGCCCCGCCTCTCCAGTCAGAGCGCCGTCTCCAAGGACACAGACAGGAAGTCTGCGGGCTCAAGTGGAGCACAGACCACCAGCTGCTAGCCTCGGGTGGAAACGATAACAAGGTATGTAGACACAGAATGTCACCTGTCTGTCTGTGAGCTGCACAAAAATCCCAGACTCATTTCTCTACCTCCTCTCCCCTCGTTTCAACCTGTTGCCTGTAGTTACTTGTGTGGAACCACTCGAGCGTCCTCCCGGTGCAGCAGTACACAGAACACTTGGCTGCAGTGAAGGCCATCGCCTGGTCTCCCCACCAGCACGGCCTGCTCGCCTCCGGAGGCGGCACCGCCGACCGCTGCATCCGCTTCTGGAACACTCTGACCGGCCAGCCCTTACAGTGCACAGACACCGGCTCTCAGGTCTGCAACCTGGCCTGGTCCAAGCACACTAACGAACTGGTGAGTCATATTTTTGGTTTGGACTGCTGCTGTTGTTAAATAGATTACATACAATACAGTGATGCACGAAAAACTGTTTTGTAGCTTGGCTTAGTGTTGGTATTTGCACACTGTAGTAACTCTGAACAAATAAACCCGAAATGACTCTTGGATGTGTGGCTGACTCGCTTGCTACCCAACGAGATGCAGTATTTAAATAACTGGAAGCTGTACTATTTCACTTTTGACTCCAGACAACTGTTAACCCGGCTTCCAATCTATGAGCTAAGCTAGGCTAAACACATCCCTCTGTACTAGAAGCAGAGACAGGGAACTGTTATTGATTTTAGTTGACAGTATACAAGCACATGTCCCAAACTAATAATGTTCTTTTTAAGTCTGAGATAAATATGAAAGAAAATACTGTGTTTGCTTTCTGCAGGTCAGCACACACGGTTATTCCCAGAACCAGATCCTGGTGTGGAAGTATCCCTCTCTCACTCAAGTGGCCAAACTTACTGGGCATTCCTACAGAGTACTCTACCTGGTCAGTATATACTGTGTGTACTCATACTATGTTGTTCTGCAGAGCAGTGTCCCAGTAGTCCCATGATTACAACAGAAAACTAAAACTGAAGCAAACAACAAGGTGCTAAAACATTGCTGGAAAAAACAAAAAAAGTAGTCCTTTTAGTATTAGAAGTGTATATATTTATTTATATATGCAGCTTAAGAAAATAGAAAGAGCTCTATATCTGGATGTTTTTCCTGAAGTGCTGCTCTGTAGAGCAAATTATTTAACATCCACGATTACCTGCTCTCTGAGCAAGTGACAGCAAAGCCACCCACACTGCAAGGAAACAAAAAAAGTCCTATTCTTGCATACCCCTGATTACTCTGATTACATCCTGTTATAATACTGTATATTCAGTGTATAATAATGAGTTCATGTGCAGGCCATGTCCCCTGACGGAGAGGCCATTGTGACAGGAGCTGGGGATGAAACACTTCGGTTTTGGAACGTCTTTAGCAAGATGAGATCAACTAAGGTATTAATTATCTCCATTTCTCACTTGTACTAATGTCTAAGATCCCATTTGCTGATTTGGTCAGTCTGTTCCATCTGCACATGCTTTTATCTGTAATTGTCTTACCTCTGTCTTGTGTCTCCTTCCTTCTTGTAGGAATCTGTGTCAGTGCTGAACCTTTTCACCAGGATCCGGTAGTAAGCACACCTCTGTACTACGAGGGAATAAAGCAGAGAGGGGAATTTATCTTTGCATGTATCCAGCTGTAAACGGGCCCCTTCTTTGAGTATTCGCCTCAGTAGTCTACAGAGGGCCCCCTCCATTGCCCCTAGTTATTTAGCCAAGTTGTAACTGGAGGTGGGCGGGAGCTGGAGAGAGTGTCGAGGGGCAGCGGAGATGCATACGCACACTATTCCACTTCCTCCTGAATAATGGAGCCACTGCCTCTTCCAACAGACCAGTGATCTCTGATAAAAGGAGAATTTTGGGGGGTGTTTTTCTCTCCCTATGTGATTATGTTTTGTTTACAGACTGATTTGTGCTTACCTGCCAAATATTGAGTTTGTCCTTTTGATTGTCTATTTATTTTACTTTTTTTTTTTCTTTTTGGTTGTTTGTTTTGTTTTTTACATATTTTTAACATATATTCTTACTAGTGTGTTTGTTTCGAAGGCCACTAGATTGCCTTTTATTTGTGTAACTGCAGGTTTTGGTCTTATCTGTGGAGTACGTTTGGCTTTGTTTAAAAAAAAAAAAAAAAAAAATTGTCTTTTTATTTTGCTGAGAGACAATAATGTTTCATGTACACTGATAACAGATCCTGTGCCCTTTCAAGAGCTATTAATGGTTAACAAGGATTGAATGAATGATCCTGATCACCTTTTTCTAATATAACATTAAGTTAATTTAGTCTAAAGACTAATAATAATAAGCAGAATTAGCTCATTGTTTCATTATCTCTCAAGAAAAATCTTGTAATTGCATACTGCACATCTTTGATTAAAATAACTGACTAAACACTGTACATTATAACAATTACTCACAAAAGTAATTCACATGAAAATCTGAAGATTTTAATGTGACTTGTGTTGAAGCTTTTCATCCATCTTGTTTCTCTACTTTGACTAGAAAACCAGGCAAGGAGAGGTAAAATTAAAATACTTTGGTTTATCAGTGTAGTTTGTAACAGCAACTAAAGCTCAGAGTTAAAAACATTTGGGATTAAATTCGAGTGAAATGCTGCACAGAGCTCCTGCTTTGTGCTGCGTCTGCTCAGATATTCAAGCTTGGGGCACTACTTCAGACCATTTCTGTTTGAGCAGTCGTGCTATTGTACTTTGTTGTTTTTGGGTTTTTTTTAATCTGACTTCATATCATCTGCAACATTTTCTCCCAATTTTGATTTCCTTTTTTCCCCTGTTTGAATGTTTAAGTCAAATAGCGTGCCACATTTAAATGAATGCTATTTATTTGTGTTGTGTACAAAGGTTCTTGTACAGAAATGGCATGTTTGTTTACTAAGGTTTTCTGAGGGGAAGCTGATGGGCGGTTTCACTGCTCGACTCTATGGAACTTTCTTTTAATGCCACTTCAAAATCAAGACAATGCTGCCAACTTGAATTACAGAAAGAATGTTAAAAAGAAAAATATTTCTGTACTGAGAGATAATCAACAATTAAATGATCATATCTTGTACCATATGTCACTGCTGTTTTATTGTGCAATGTTTTATTTTATTGTCAACCTGTGAGTAGGCGTCATAAAATAAGTGTCCTGCTGGGAAGTATAAGGAGCACTATTGTTATATCATTATTTGTAGAATAGTGTTGTTCTATAGGTGACTGCAGTACTAACAAGTATTTGCTGTTCTTTCAAAACCTGAACCCTATCTTATTCCCCTGAGCAACAGAGCTACAAAAAACACGAATGAGCCAAACTGTTGCAGTGGCTGACATGTTCCTTCATTTAATTGAACATGGGCACTGTAGTTTATTTGAATTCTCTTCTGCGACCATAAATATTCACTAGAGAGCTAAATATGTGTTTTCCACAGCACAGCAGAAAATAGTCCTCAACAAAAGCACTATTTATTATGTTATGTATGTGACAAAGGATGTTTGTTAAAAACTGCAGTGTCCAGCTGTTTTAGGAAAGGATTTGCCTTTTACAAAGGAAAATAACCTATACATTTGTGACCTGTTTTTAAAGATTTAAATCTTCAGTAGAAACCAATCGGCTTCAGACTGAGGTCAACACACAAGGAAGGGAGGTCTAAGAAAGTACTAATGCATTGTTGGATTTGGTCTTTTCATGGGATTTGTTGACAATAAGAAAAACCGAATATTACCAAGGATTCAAGGATATTTTATTGTCATTCATTAAATTCAGATATAGTTCCCTTTATGCTACTTTAAAAAAAATAAAAAATAATGAATCAGTCATAAAATAAATATAAATTGGTATAATGAATTGTTGAGGAAAAATTTAACAGTCTCACAGCCTGAGGGAAGAAGCTGTCCTTAAGTCTGGTGGTACGGCAGTGGAAGCTTCTACCCCTTCCCAGATGGCAGCAGGGTGAGCAGGCTGTGGCTGGGGGGGTTTCTGTCTTTTAGTATTCTTTTAGGCTCTGCACAGGCACCTCACCTCACCAATATCACTGATGCTGGGCATCTGAGTACCAATGATCGTCTGTGCGGTTTTAATCACCTGCTGAAGAGTCCTCTTGTCCATAGCCGTACACACCACACGTATCCTTTAACTTTTTTCTTTCTTTAACTTAACTTTAACTAATTTTTTTTATCCCAAAAGAGATTAATCTGAGTCATGCCATACATGTCTCTGTTTTCAATAAAAATGTGGCATTTCAAGCAGAAACATGGAAGTCAGGCAGATATATTTTTGCGTTATCACAGTTTCCTAATAGTTTTCCTTCTGAACAGCAGAATTACAGTTTGGTAAATATTAAAGCTAAAAAAAAAACCCAAATCAAGTGTTTTGTGGAGCCCTCAGAGCACCTTTAGTGCTTCTTGGCAAAGATTCGACAAGTCTCTGAACTCTACTGGAGAGATAAACACTGTTCTCCCAAAAGATATTCCCTCATTTTATTATTTGATGATGGTGGTGAAGAGTTGTGCTGTCTGACAAAAGTCTGGTGTTCAATTGGGTTGATACATATTGTACAGAATAATCTGTATTCATAAGGTTTTTCTACACTCAGTCTGAATGCTTCTTAGTACGTGGTTTCCTGTGTTGTCCCAACTCACAGTGAACACCAGAGGGCGCCATTCTATGAGCAGCTCCATATTCAGTGCTACACTGCTGCTACCACACCCATACAATCAACCTTAACCATGTTACCTTGAAGGTGAGAATCAGATCACTAGAAGAATATCCTTCCAGTAATGCTGACTTGTCTTTGTAACAGGCTATGAGGAAGGTTAAACATCTGCTAACATTGTATCTGGTTTCATTTTATCCCCAGTTTACGCACCGCATTTGTCAGAACGAGAGCTTTGAACGACCAGAAAACACCCCGTGGCTTTCACCTTGTTCCCTGGAAGTCGGCAGATTTTCAACATATTACCAGTGCAGCCCACACACGCATAGTTTTGACCCAGAGCATGAAAAATAATGAATGTTCACCGCCTCCCAAAGCTCCCACACCTCTGCTTGTGCCCTGTGGCCTATCCAAACTCACTATTACACATTTAAACAGCAAATGGATTTTTATCAGTGTAAACAACAGCTGAAGGGTCTGAATGCATGAAGGAAAAATGGATCTTAAATGATTCTGCTCCTGTGGTTTTGCTATAACTTACGGATATAAGAAAACGGCTAATATTGAACATGTTGGAATTTGACCAGTACTAATACAGACAAAATAATGAAAAATACCACTGCTAATTAAAAAGAAGAATGTTTTTCTGGGTGATGAAGATCAGGTACTGTAGGCCTTTGTGACTCAGCTTCTATCAGCACCAGAGAGCCTCAGCCTTTCTCCCCATTCAGACTCCATTATAACGTCATCTAAATAACATGCATACAGTGCATTATAGTGATCAGATAAATCATCTGAATGGAAGACATTCAACACAGTCTTCCAGCTCATCTGTGGCTCTCGGTGGGCAGATGTTAACATTAAGCCCTGAAAGCAGAGGGGAGAACGGAGGGGGACCGCTAATATGCGTAATCCTACCTCCTGATGTTTCTATCAAGAGGCGCAGAGTCTGATGTTCATTATACAACTAAAGCCTCACAACACAGCAAGCAGGATCTTCCCCCCGGTTCCTCCCTAAGCCCGACTCTTGAGTTGCATTGATAACCGGCCTGCAGGGATATATCAAAGGAACAAGGCTTTTGTGATAACTAATAGCTGCAGCCAGCCAGGCTTCTTTTTGGTCATTTTGTCAGCGAGAACAGAGCACACAGGGTCACTCATGTGTCTTATTTACAAAAAAAAAGACACACAAGTCACCCAACCCAGCAGCACCTTTGCATTCATAAAGAACTGGTAGGTGTGTTTTTCCACAGCCTGTAAACTGTGACAAGCTGTCAAATTGAAGGTGTCAGAAAATATGTTTTTTTTTTTTAAATAGCTCACTGGGAAAAAGCAACATAAAGATTCAGTTGTGGCTGATTGTTTTGAGGCTTTTGAAGATTTTGATAAAATATCACACATGGGCCCTGAAAGCAGCAGGAATTCTAATTTACAAGGATCCAATCCTTACATAGACCCAAAGTCATACAAGGAAATGTCCTTTTTTAATTCTTCAAAGGTCACTGTTGAGCAGTTTCCCTCTGGTTAAGATAGGATGAAGAAATTAAATAAATAAAACAAACCGGAGCACACCTGCTGACTGTGATAATGTTGCTCAGTTTCACATTCATTACTGCACTGGAACAAAAATCCGATAATAGTAAGCCAAATATTAAACCCAAACCCTAAGCTTTTAAACATACAATAATTGCACATTTAAATCACTCTGTTGTGCCCTACCAGCCTACAACTGCTGCTAAACCGTCAAAGAGGTCAAAAACAATGAGTAACAGTATAATTTGACTATTATGTCATTTGAAGATAACAATACTGCAGAAATGACTTATGATTACTATCTCCCAACCCACTTAGATTTGGGAACATCAGTGTTTAACAGCCATCCCCTGCTGAAATTTACACCATTTGGCTGTAAGGAAAAAAAGGGATACAAGGCTCTTTAGGACTCCTCTCACCCTCTTCTTCATCCTTTGTTTTAAAATACTGATGTAATTGTCCTTAAGATGCTGTTATTGTACATGGCACACATCACATCATGGTTTGTGGTGCTGATAACATCCAACGCTTGTTTCTTCTTTTATTCTTTTATGAAAAATGTTCCGCTTGTTTAATGTCTCAGTGTGATTATTGCATTTGATGTTTTATGTGAGCTAAAAGCTAATTTGCATCCACTATGTTGAAGAGCATTAAAGTATTTAATCTGGAATATCTGTTGGGCTTTTAGTTGATCTCTCTCTCTCTGTGTGTGTGTGTGTGTGTGTGTGTGTGTGTGTGTAAAATTGCATTCATGGGCACGCCTTTCATTTGCTTCCACTTTTCCTCAATATCCTTTTTTCCCCCCTTTACTGAATTATAACTCCGTTAGGCTTTGTGGAGGAGTTTGGTCTCCTTAGTAAACCATCTGCTTTGTTGTTGCGTCAGTCCTTATGTGAAACACGCGTGCAGGTGCATCAGCAGACTCATGAGTGTATATGAATGTATATGTGTGAGTGTGTGATTGCGTATGTCTGCTTGAGTGCTTGACTGCTCCTCCTTTCAGCTCGACTTATTTATCTTTCCCACCTACCTTTATTTGCCGAAAGGCTCAATCCCAGAAGGCTTGTGACAGTTTTACTTGTCAAACGTGTGTTTGCATTTCCTCCTCTGTGTGTCTGTCTGTCTCTCCCTGTTGTTGGTTTGGTCTCATTCACATTTAAAGTTACTCTGACTTACTCATTGGTTTGGAATGGAACCAACTTGAAATGCCAACGTGAGGGGTCTAATAAGTAAGCCTGAAGTTACATGGACAAAAATAAAGGACAAAAAGGGCTTTTATTATGAAAGACATTTTGGTCATGT